TTATGAAAAGTAAAAAGGACCGAGGAACTACAAGTTACACTATAATGTCCACTAACACCACCAGTTACCAAACAATCAGCTCATGCGATAACATTGCACGTTAATTAATTATAAATTAATCCTTGGCTCTCCATCGGAGTTCACTAGAGAAAGTACATGAGTGTATACATGATTGCCTCCACTGTAGACCTCTTGTTGTCATGAACAGAGATGAACTGCGTGAATGGAGCAGGTAGATCCCAGGTGGTGCAGTGAACACAAGAGAAGTTTATTCCTGACCAACACAATTTAAACAGCTAAGAGTAGAGCCCACACGCTCTCTTCCATTAACACTGCAATAGTTCAACTCATTTCACAATAATTATTACGTTTCGGCAAATTGCCAACAAAATTTAATAATGAAAATGCTAGGTCACTTACGGTCGCAACTTGGTAGACGATTCCACACACCGTGTGCAGTAGTACTGCGAGTGCATTGAATTGAAGAATTACTCGTTGCGCTGTAGCCGTCATTACAGGTAAAGTTTGCCTCCGCTCCAATAGGAGTACCGGTCGTGTGAATCTCTCCATTTCTCAATGTATTTGAGCAATATGAAGCGATTACTTCCAAGTGTTGGAAAATGAATGACACCCATCAGCACACCGAGAAAGTGGTGCAAATGAAGGCAAAAAAGGCACAGAGAAAAAGAGCAGCTCAATCACAGAGCGCTATTCAAGTTCGTATTTCCGTCTCCTTTCACTGATTTTCCACACAACACAGAAAGTTCACAGTGCACCTCATTTCTCTGTTCAAATGGTGCTCGATACCTACGTGCAAAGCTGTGTGCAGCCTACCCCGCATACTCTCCAATAATTGAAATATTTTCACAGGATGTCGACGGCTCAGTTCTGGACCATCAACATGCAAAGGCCCATGACAGATCTGAAAATGTCCAGGTTGGGGCAGAGGACTGTACATGAGAAGTCCGGAGAAGAACATCCCGACTCTTTTCAAACACGAAGTAAACAAACTCTGTCACTTACAATCGCAAGAAGGTGGATTATTCCACCTGCCGTACGTTTGGCTGTATGCGCTGCATGTCACTGGGTTTGTATTCGATGGAAGATATCCGAGGTCACAGGTAACAGTTGCCACATCATTAATGCTGTTTCCCAACATGATTACATTTCCATTGCTTGTATTGTAATTACTTGGGCAATAATCAGTGATAGCTATCAAGTTTTGGTAAATGGTTGAAACCCATCGGGACACACACCGGAAAAGATGCGTGAAAGCGAGAAAGCCAAGACACAGAGACAGAAGCATCCCAATCAGACTTCATATCTATCTGGGTACACCAAGTTTTAGAGGCAGCAACGACATCATAAGGTGGCGTTGCTAACGATACTATTGCCCACAGTTAATCCATTTTGGGGGAGAGAATGTGGGCATATTAAAGGAATGAAAGGAGATGCTATTTTGTTCTCCATGGCAAAATGTGGGCACACGTTATGCAGTCAAGTCCACCACCTAAACCAGATTTTAAACGGTTAGACACACACGGCCTAGTAAAAAACTGACAAGGAGTGCTGAGACATTCCACGGCATGAAAGTCAGCTTGAGCATTGCTCGATAGCGCTAACCAATGGCCTTCCAGCTTGGAATGTTCATGGATAATAGTGTTAATAGGTTTAGTTGGTGGACTCGACAGCATAACCTGTGCCCCCATCATTAGCATTTCCTTTTCTTTTCTTTCTCTTTTCACCGGTTATTGAGGGATGTTGCTAGTTCCGGTTAAGGTGTAGTCCATGGTGACTCCTCTAGGACTGGTTAACCAGCTTGATTGGTTTGTGTTGTTTACAGGCATGCAACTGCATCTCGTTTGGGCGTCTGCGACGTCATGCCTTTCCTCCTCCGCTGCAGGAGTTTTATTGGCACGAGCTTCATCATCCTTTGGTCTATCGTCGTCGCTGTCATCCTTCACATCTGTGCGAGGCAATGTGCCGGGTGAGTGGCAGTGTGTCGGGTGAGTGGCAGCGTGTCGGGTGAGTGGCAGTGTGCCGGGTGAGTGGCAGTGTGTCGGGTGAGTGGCAGTGTGTCGGGTGAGTGGCAGTGTGTCGGGTGAGTGGCAGTGTGCCGGGTGAGTGGGAGTGTGTCGGGTGAGTGACAGTGTGTCGGGTGAGTGGCAGTGTGTCGGGTGAGTGGGAGTGTGTCGGGTGAGTTGCAGTGTGTCGGGTGAGTGGCAGTGTGCCGGATGAGTGGCAGTGTGCCGGGTGAGTGGCAGTGTGACGGGTGAGTGGCAGTGTGCCAGGTGAGTGGCAGCGTGTCGGGTGAGTGGCAGCGTGTCGGGTGAGTGGGAGTGTGTCGGGTGAGTGGCAGTGTGCCGGGTAAGTGGCAGTGTGTCGGGTGAGTGGCAGTGTGTCGGGTGAGTGGCAGTGTGCCGGGTGAGTGGCAGTGTGCCGGGTGAGTGGCAGTGTGTCGGGTGAGTGGCAGTGTGTCGGGTGAGTGGCAGTGTGCCGGGTGAGTGGCAATGTGTCGGGTGAGTGGCAGTGTGTCGGGTGAGTGGGAGTGTGTCAGGTGAGTGGCAGTGTGTCGGGTGAGTGGCAGTGTGACGGGTGAGTGGCAGTGTGTCGGGTGAGTGGCTTTGTGTCGGGTGAGTGGCAGTGTTGCGGGCGAGTGGCAATGTGCCGGGTGAGTGGCTGTGCATTCTAGCACCAGCTGAGAGTGTATTGCCCGCGCACTTGTGGCCCGCGCTCTTGTCGGTTTGCGCTCACAGTGCTGGCCAAAGACATCCAACCTCATGAATAAAGTAGCGCCGTGTTCGAGTGCACAGACCTGCAGTGTGTGTAGTGCTAGGGCTGGAGTGCACAGACCTGCAGTGTGTGTAGTGCTAGGGTTGGAGTGCACAGACCTGCAGTGTGTAGTGCTAGGGCTGGAGTGCACAGACCAGTGTGTGTAGTGCTAGGGTTGGAGTGCACAGACCAGTGTGTGTAGTGCTAGGGCTGGAGTGCACAGACCAGTGTGTGTAGTGCTAGGGCTGGAGTGCACAGACCAGTGTGTGTAGTGCTAGGGCTGGAGTGCACAGACCAGTGTGTGTAGTGCTAGGGCTGGAGTGCACAGACCAGTGTGTGTAGTGCTAGGGCTGGAGTGCACAGACCTGCAGTGTGTGTAGTGCTAGGGCTGTGTAGTGCACACACCTGCAGTGTGTGTAGTGCTAGGGTTGGAGTGCGCAGACCAGTATATGTAGTGCTAGGGCTGGAGTGCACAGACCTGCAGTATGTATAGTGCTAGGGCTACGTAGTGCCCGGCAACAGTATTTTATTGATGAGGTTGGATTTCTTTGGCCAGCACTATAGTACCGACACCACATGTAGTTGCAGGTCGGTACTCAACACTGCGCCGGTGCTGGTCTACGCGGATGGTATTGCTTGGTCGTCCAGTGTTCGTTACTGCTGGGTTCACTGACTTCATGCATATCCACACTCAGCGAGCTGGCAGAAGTCACAGGGGCCACGAGTACGGTTCTTTCAGTTGGCAAATTCCAGGTGCGAGTGTGCCGAAAGCTATACGTAGCCTGTGTTGACATGTTTATAGTCAGTTTCAAAGAAATTAGCAATCCTGGCGATCGCCCGGGGAGTTTGCCGTCTTACCGTATGAGCGCTTGAGCGCTGCCTGGAAAAACTCACTGTGAACTCGAAGAAATATTCCGTGCGAAAGCATGAAAAATGACAACTCACTGACGTCGGTATTCGTACATGTTCGTCTGGTTTACAACAAACGAGTTCTTCCTCGTATCGATATAGAGTCAGAGAGGACATGTCGAAAGTGTGGTAAATTTTGAAGAGCGGGATGCATCCCAATTCGTATTGTGACCAAATAGATTCTTTGAGCTGCCGCGGATGCAATTTACTTTCATGATGTGACGAAAACGGCATCGACACAGGCTCATTCCCAAGGCCTTGATGTGGCAAAGCTATCCGTGTGACTTCGACGACATTTTGAGAAAAGCAGATGCCTGTGAAAGCTGATAGAAGACGGCGTTGACTCCTAAATTCAAATAAATTGGTGATCTTCAAATACTAAAATAATTCTCAAACAGAAATCGATCGATCGGTGTACCGGTGTATTCAACAACACGTAGCTACAGCACAATGACTTCCGTGTTCAGTCACACAGTTTCAGTGTTGTTTGTGTTCACAACTTCACATGGCGTGAGCCAGTCAAGCGTCAGTCAGTTCGACAGGAAACGCGAGCTCCAACAACAAGTCGTTTGGCGCAGCCACCCTTCTTGATTTTGTCTTGTACCAGCGTGCGCGTGATCACCAAAACAATGAAAAACGAAGAAAAAATGTTTGACTTGAAGATTTGTTGGGATTTGAACTCACAACTTCATGGTCAGCACACAGCATTCATAACCACAAGGCCAAAAAGGAAAGGATAAATCGTGGGTTTTGATAACAAATCAAGCCATTTTATGTACTTTGTTGTCAAATTTCCCTTATCTTCATACTTTCTAGGACCCAAACTTGATTGCTAATCTTTTTGAAACAGACTGTAGGGGTCGCAAGCATCAGAATATGAGGCTGGGCATATTCGTGGCGAATCAGTGAGCGAACGCTATGTGTTCACTTTTAAACGGGAGAAGAGAGTGGGCCATTTGATGTCGTGTTTTATTCTCATGGTGGCCTGTGGCCAATAAGAGATATTAAAGCGAGATTTACCTCACATAGATGGCTTGGAAATAGACAGCTATCCAAACACACCAGCAACACAGCACCAAGCACACCAGACTGCCAAATTAAAATCAGCATCTCACTTGAATAAGGATTTTTGACATGTTAGTCATCATTTGAGCCTGTACTTCAAGACCATCTGATCAAACGCCAAATGTCCCAATCCTTTAAACAAGCCTAGTTAACAGGTGTGAGTTTTACCACCACATGAATCAACATAGTAAACAAGTAGTCTAATACTCACCATCGCACCGCACCAGATTATCCCACTTGCCGTTGGTAGCATTGTGCTCACTGCATGTCATTGGCGTGTGTTTCTGTGGCAGGTATCCATAGTTACAGGTAACCCATGCATAGCGGTAAACGGTGGCCTGGTAGATGGTTACTTTTCCATGGTTTACCGTAATCGTACTTGGGCAATAATCCAGGATCGCTATCAAGTTTTGTGACATCCGTCAAGACAACGAAAAAGAAGCATGAAAGCAAGAAAAACAAGACACACTGGCATAAGCACCACAATCAGGCTACTTCATCCTATCTACTGGGTGTTTCGTGTATTTTGACCTATAAGTTAAAGGCAATAAAATGACATTCACCACAACACCGAGAAAGACGCATGAAGGCTCACGAAGAAATACACACTGAGATAAACAGTGCAATAAGATTACAACAATCAAGTGCATACCACTGGCTCCATTCACTAATCTATTTCACACCAAACCAAGTAGGCAAAGTGGGTGGGTCCAGGACCATGAATGGAAAACGAGAGGTACCTGGTCCCAGTCCTTCCTGGTAGCGGTTTTTGCAGCTGTGCTGCTACCCACAGTCAACTGGGAACTTGTGTGGCCAGATGCAAGGGGTACACGGATGTGGCTAATGGGGATTTCGGCACTTGTGCACATGGCTGTGAGACTTATTCTGTCACCCCCACGGTTAGTCGCTGCATCTGTCAATAGGATTTCTCAGGTGTATGTGGCCACAGTGTGTTCCCTCGGGGGCTAGGAGACAATTTACCGTATTTGCCAGAGTATAGCGAGCACCTGGGTATAATGCACACCCCTATTTTTAAATGTAGAAAGGAAAAGGACATTATAGATACGAGTTAAGAGTAAAGATCCATCACTGTAACCAGATACTATATACAGTCAGAAAGTGCAACAACTAGGCACAAAACTTTTCCTTTCTACATTTATTATTGGCTCAACATCCGAGTTTTAAATTGCACCCCTATTTTTGACACACGTTTTAGCAATTCAAGGTGTATCCAGACTATACTGCGCTGCCTGGATTTGAGAGCATTGTCGATCATGGAGACTGTACTATTGCGACCATTTTACATTTAAACTTTGTATAAAGGCCATGCGACCACTGGAGTCTCGTACCCACCATGCATTAGCAGTGTAGCTGGCAGTAGACACTAGACATGCACAGTCATTTTTTGGTTTGCTCCGGGTCAGAGGTGGCCAACTTCGCAATAGTTGGATGCATTGCACTACTTTTCAAAGTACATGCACTTTCCATTTCGGAGCTTAGCGCGTGCTTCGGATTTGAGGCCTGAAATAGTACACCTAATGTGCTTACTATACTCCCGAAAATACGGTACTACACACAGTAAGCAACTTTGACTGCTCGAAACTATTCAACACCTTGGTGTAAAAGTTCTAGGGGTGAATTTGGCACTGAGATCCCGAGTTCGAGTCCTCTGATTTTCTCCGATCGAATATTCGAGTATTCGAGTATTTTTCATCTCCTAAAAATTGCACACCAATGGCTTTAAAATAACATGATACAAACCTGATTGAACCGAGTAGCAGTCATTTTTCTCGGGTATATTGGTTGGTGGGTCATTTGGGCTCTACTCGTAAACAAATGTTCACCACACAGTCTGCACATCACCATCTGCCGACTGCTGCCCTGAAACTGCAGATTTCTGTAGTAAATGCATGTACCATGTATGAACGAGTACTCTGATTTATTGCGAGTACGATTATTTTTGAAAAAACCGAGCGAGTACTTGAGTACTCGGTATAATTGTTTCACCCCTAAAAAGTTCACACTACAACTGCAATAGTTGTCACCTTCTTATTGTTATCGCCTTTGATATTGTCACGCAGGTAGTATGCTCACACCTTGCCAATGCCGGTTCTTTTCCTGTTTCACCTTCTGCTTGGTTCTATAGTTGCGTTCATCCTTTATAACCGTCATTCGACGTGTACGTCATGGTGCATGTGATTTCAACCAGCCTCTTGCAGTAAAATTCAAAAACTGCGCTCAGGACTTCCGTCAGTTTTGCATCAACGGTTGTGCCAAATATTCTGTAAATTCTGGGATGCTGGCGTGGTTAAGCGGTACTGTCCCAGGAACTCTTCCAAGGTGAGGCAATGTTGGCTTGATGGAGTTTTGTTCGTAGCTTGTTCGTGTACGCTACGGCGTGGCTCGTTTGTAGACCCATAATAGACACTGTGATTTTTCGCGCATTTTTGAGGGGTATGCCAGTTTGAAGGTTCCCTTCAGAAACCTTTTTCAAGGGCTTTGCACAGTCGATCTACGCCCTAGAGGGAACCTACCTGCAAATGGTGAGCCAAATCGGAGAGATCTACTTGCACCCATACTTTGGTATTCTGATACATGCTCTCCAAAGTTAACACAAAGTAAACAAAATCTGTCACTCACGGCTGCATTGTACTGACTCCCACTTGCCGTGCGTACGATTGTGTTTGAGGCATGCTACTTTGTCCTTAGGGTCTGCAAGAAAACCTGTTTTACACGTGATGGTTGCCACATCCACAATGCTGCTTCCCATCTTAGTTACATTTCCATTGTATATTTGGATCGTACTTGGGCAATAATTAGGTTGAGCTATCAAGTATTGGTAAAAGATTGACATCGAACATGACACCGGCCCGGAAGAGATACACAAAGAAACAAGACATGGAGACATAAGTGGCCAGACTGGACTACTCTGATCATGGCAGCTTGATGATGCTATTGTCCGTGCTGGTATTTATGCCGGGAGAAATATTGGTGGATGTTGTGGTGCGATGCATGGGGTGTTGATTTGATGGTGTTTGTTGCGCAACGGGTCTAGAATGAAAGACTTTTTATGGCTTATTTATGTTGTTCTTTAGTTTTATTTTGTAGTGGTCTAGTCTTGACTTTGTTGCATTGTTTTGGTTGCATGTGCAGTCTTCTGTACATGTATACACCATGGAACGCTTACGTCATTGTCGCGCATACAACATTATTTTGCGCGCATGCTCATATATGCTGCCGCAATGTTTGTCCTTTTCTTCAGTTATAAGTTTTGCCTCGTCATGTCTGGTCTTCTTGTCTGTTCGTCTCCGTCTTGTCAAGAAATTATGTAGAACTTTTAGTTCAGTTGCGCTGTTGTGTGTGGCGAGTCGGATGGGCGGGAGGCTGGGCCCCTGACGCCTGGAGAAGATGTGCTGGTGCACGAAAGTGTTAAAAAAGTGCTGTGTGCAAAGCTGTGGAGGAGTTTGGGAGCTGTGTAGGTTTCAGGACTACCGTACTCGCGCGATTAGTGCCCCCAGGGCACCATTTGTTAAATGTCCATCACAGACTGGGGATTGTTCAGGAGAGGGCATTATTCATGAGAGGGCATTATTCATGAGAGGCCACTATTTGTTCAATGTCCATCACAGACTGGGGATGATTCAGGAGAGGGCATTATTCATGAGAGGGCACTATTTTTTCAATGCTGGTACATTTACGTCATCCACCATAAAAACCAAAGAGGGCAAAGAATAACGAAAGTCTGTAAATTGTACTGTAAACTATCACGACTCAAAAGAAACGGCAACAAGAACTGCGATTTTGATCCTGAAAACACCAATACAGTGAGAATTATGAGATGGACAAGGACACAAGCAAGAGAACACCAAACCTGCATATGCGCTTGGTTACAAGCCGGGGGGGGGGGGGGGGGCACTATTCAAGAGAGGGCTTTATTTTTTCACTGGCTCTTAGAGACTGGGGCACTACTCGAGATAGGGCACTATTCAAGAGAGGCCTCTAATTGCACGAGTACGGTAGCAGTGTAATGTTTTAGTGCGGAGTGTGAGTGTGTTTATGTGTGTGAGTGTGTGTGTGTGTGTGTGTGTGTGTGTGTGTGTGTGTGTGTGTGTGTGTGTGTGTGTGTGTGTGTGTGTGTGTGTGTGTGTGTGTGTGTGTGTGTGTGTGTGTGTGTGTGTGTGTGTGTGTGTGTGTGTGTGTGTGTGTGTGTGTGTGTGTGTGTGTGTGTGTGTGTGTGTGTGTGTGTGTGTGTGTGTGTGTGTGTGTGTGTGTGTGTGTGTGTGTGTGTGTGTGTGTGTGTGTGTGTGTGTGTGTGTGTGTGTGTGTGTGTGTGTGTGTGTGTGTGTGTGTGTGTGTGTGTGTGTGTGTGTGTGTGTGTGTGTGTGTGTGTGTGTGTGTGTGTGTGTGTGTGTGTGTGTGTGTGTGTGTGTGTGTGTGTGTGTGTGTGTGTGTGTGTGTGTGTGTGTGTGTGTGTGTGTGTGTGTGTGTGTGTGTGTGTGTGTGTGTGTGTGTGTGTGTGTGTGTGTGTGTGTGTGTGTGTGTGTGTGTGTGTGTGTGTGTGTGTGTGTGTGTGTGTGTGTACATATGTAGATGGGTGTATGCAGGGTTCTTCAGAGGGGAGTTACAGCGGCATGGGGGGGGGGGGGGGGGGAGGGGTGCAGGAACTGACTTGTGAGAGAGGAATAGTGCGGCTGTATGGGGGTCAGTTCTTCATGATACAGCTAATGCTTGACTTGTGATAAATCAGACATGCATGTTCACATGTAACATACATGATCACTTGACATGGACATGTGACATGCATGTTCCAAACGGTGACTTTTCACCAGCTTGTTCCCTTACTTGGACACAATTCGTGACCAGCAAACAATTTAATGTCTGCTTGCGTTGTGGCTTTGCGCTTCCCAAAAAAGCACCTGATGTCTTTCTGCCGCAAGTCTATGGTCCTACTAGGGGAAATCCCTCAAATACTCCAGCTTCCGGGATTATCCGGAACTAAACTGCCAAAATGAATGACTGATTGTACGTGTATTGTGACCGTCAAAGGAAAGCGCTCGCCTCCTTGGTATTTTTGTCAAGTGAGGAGGAAGGACATCAACACTCTCCGTCTTTTGCGCGATCGATCACGCGACACCGCGACACCACGACCGCGTACAACACGTGCATGCATGTCGGCGTTGTTGCGGTACGTGGTATAGCTATAAGCAGGTGCACTGCATGCATGTAACCGTGCGGAGCGTAGATATCACGGTATCGGTACTCTATGCCCATGCACGTGCAGTGCGGGATGAGAATCTGGAGGCTGAGGGGGGGGGGGGGGGGCGGGGCGGGGGATTCGTTTGCACCCTTTGAACCCCCGCCCTTGTGTGCATGTGTTTGTGTGTGCGTATGTGTTATTACTTTTGTTCCAAAATTGATCCCGATGGACGTTTATCTAGTTAAGGGCATAGCGGGTTTAAGTAGTTGTATGGATTCGCTTGTTTACAAAAATAGTCTGGGAAAAACTCGTTGAACGACCCCATATTGTATGGCGGCATTCAAGCAGCCGTGTGTTCTGTATGCAAAGGCTGAATATCTGCCTGCAAGTTGCCAGGTTGAGGCAGAGGACTGGACAAAGGGCGGTCCGGATACGAATGCCCCAATTTTGTTTTTACACACAGTAAAACAAATTCTTTCACTCACGTTTGCACTCCAGCAGATTTTCCCACTGGCCATGCGTAGCATTGCGCACAGCGCATGTCATTGGCGAGTCTTTCTGTGGATGGTATCCATACTCGCAGGTCACCCATGCAAGACGGGCAATGGATTCATAGAACACGGATACATGGCCATTGCTTACTGTAATCGTACCTGGGCAATAATCCACGATAGCTATCAAGTATTGAGACATCCATCAACACACCGGAAAAGATGCATGAAAGCAAGCAAAACAAGACAAAGACGCATCAGCATCTCAATCAGGCCACTTAAGTCTGTCTACCGGGTTTGGTGTATTTTGAGCTATAAAGAATTGACAGTAAACTGACATTCACCACAACACCGAGAAAGACGCATGAAGGCACACAAAGAAATACACACTGAGATAAACAGTGCAATCCGACTACACTAAACAAGTGCATACCACTGGCTCCATTCACTAATTTCTTTCACACTACACCAAGCAAGCAGGTACACTGGGTTGGTCTAAGACTAAGATTGCGAAAAGAGAAGTACCTGGTTCAAGCCCTGCCCGTGAGCGGTTTTCCCAGCCGTGCTGCTACTACCCACAGTCAACTGGGAACTTGTGACCAGATACAAGGGGAACACGGATGTGGCTAATGGGGATTTCGGCACTTGAGCCAGTGGCTGTGAGACTTATCCCCTCATCCTCACAGTTTGGCACTGATGCATGGTATGTTTGGGTTGCCTTTTACTTGAAACTTACTTGGAGCTAACTTGGACCTGTTACAGATGTTACTGTGTGCAGTGAACTTCACATGCTCTCCAGTGATTGGTATGGGTTCACAGGCTTTTGTGGGCAGCATCATGGAGCATGGCTTTGCAATGGACTAGTACCTGTCTTCGAGTTGCCCAGGTGAGGGAGGGAATTGGGTACAGGGGGTCCAGGTAGAAGTACACCTAATGTACTAAACACAGGGCAGACACATTCTGTAACTCACGTTTGCACTCTAGCTTATCCCACCTGCCGTCCGTAGCATTGTGTCCAAAGCATGTCGCTTGGTTATTACTGGGTGCTTGATAACCTGATTTGCAGGTAACAGTTGCAACACTGCCAACGCTGCCTCCCAACACCGTTACCTTGCCATTGCTTACTGAGATGGTAGTTGAGCAATAATCAGATACGACTATCAAGTATTGGTACAAGATTGCATCCACCAAGACACCGAGAAAGTTATTGGAAGCAAGAACAAGAAGACAGAGACAGAAGTACCACGGGTGAACTACTCAAATAATGTCTATCGGGTGTTTGTGTACTTTGAGCTACAAGTTAAATGGACATTCACCACAACACCGACTCGGAGAAAGACGCATGAAGACACACAAAATAATGCACAAGGAGGATAAACAGTCCAATAAGATCTTTATGAAGAAATGTGAAACTGACCAAGTGCATATCACTGGCTAAACTGACCAAGTGCATATCACTGGCTAAACTGACCAAGTGCATATCACTGGCTAAACTGACCAAGTGCATATCACTGGCTAAACTGACCAAGTGCATATCACTGGCTAAACTGACCAAGTGCATATCACTGGCTAAACTGACCAAGTGCATATCACTGGCTAAACTGACCAAGTGCATATCACTGGCTAAACTGACCAATTGCATATCACTGGCTAAACTGACCAAGTGCATATCACTGGCTAAACTGACCAAGTACATATCACTGGCTAAACTGACCAAGTACATATCACTGGCTAAACTGACCAAGTGCATATCACTGGCTAAAATCACAAATTTCTTTCGAACCACACAGATAGTACAGAGTAGGTAACTTTCACTGCTCACACAATGCTCAATAGGTAACTTTCACTGCTCACACAATGCTCAATAGGTACACGTAACTTTCACTGCTCACATAATGCTCAATAGGTAACTTTCACTGCTCACGCATTGCTCAATACCCCTGGATAGAGTTGTGTGGGGGAAACCTCTCCAATTATTTGAATATTATCACCGGTTCTTGAGGGCAGTATCGTGGATAATCACAAAGCAAAGTTATAATAGCTGCCTGCAAGTTGTAAAGTTGATGGATAGGCCTGGATATGGAAGGTCGCGAGCAGAGTACCTCACGACTAACAAAAACCTGTGTTATCGTCAAATGTAACCCGCCGTTGATTGCTTTCCCTATGCTTCTTTTCACCTTGTGCCTCATCGTGATGACACTTCTTGGGCATGGAGACAAGATGGGCCAAGACGAATCGTCCATTGATTCTCACAGCGATTGCACCTGTGACAATCTGCTGGTGAGATGCTGGCATGCGGGGGCATCTCCGACGACTACGCGACATCATAGTTAGGAGTAAGATGATCCATTTGCGACATCAACCAATTATTTGTACGAGTACGCTCTCTCCACACGGGTTTCTGTCCTCAGCTGCCGTCAGCATTGCGCGGGGCGATGCGCTCGATCTCGGAGGCGACTGGTGCCGGCAGAGTGCTGCGAGCCGAAAATGTGCCTGGGTGGGCACGGAATGGGGAGGAACCTGAGTCAGTGAGCAATCTGTCGTCATGCTACTCGGCAAAAATGTTCCGCGTGAAGATAGTGGGACTGGAAAACTGCCGGTTTGTTTGCCAGCCAAGTGACAGAATCGAAAACTGTAGCTAGCCAACAATGCCAAGAGAGCAAGAACTTTACTGGACAAGCTGACGGAAAAACTAAAACTGCATTTTGACACATCAAGATACCAACTCCAAAGGAATGCTCCTTCACATCCTGACAGTTCGAGAGCTTCAAGAAGACATGTCTTCCGATATGACACCATAACAGGATGTCAGTAAAATTTTGCGAGCATGCAGATCGTGCACGGACAACAGCGTGTCACACACTCTCAGCCATATGCCAATATGGCGCATGTGCCAGGGCTAACTAGGCTTTGCTACGCAAAGCCCACATGTTACTGGATTGGCTAAACTTGCCCGTGTGGATTGTGTTTTTGTTGACATTTCTTTCGAAATTGGATACGCCTCCGATTTTTCCCTAAAAAATATGATCAAAATAATACGTCACTCACCATTGCAATTTGGTAGATTTTCCCAAACACCGTGCGTAGCATTCAACCCTGTGCATTTAAGTGCCTTGTCTACAAATCCTTGGACGTAGCCGTTATCACACGTATAATTTGCCTCTATTCCGATGTGAGTATGGTTCGCATCAACCGCTCCATTTGCAAAAGTAGTTGAGCAATATGAAGCAATTCCTATCAAGTATTGGAAAGGCATCCATCAAGACACCGAGAAGGAAGCGTATATGAAGGCAAAGAAAGACACAGGGAGAAAATAGCTTAATCAGAGAACACTATCCAAGCTCCTATTTCCGTCTCCTGTCAATAACAGTTTCCCACCTCCCAGAATGTTCAGAGTAGTCAACCTTCACAGCTCAAAATGTGCTCAAAACGGGCTCAAAATGTGCTCAAAATGTGCTCAAACCAAATGTACAAATTTTAAAGCAGTCAAATTCACATCCTCTCCAACAAATGAAATATTTTCACAGGATCTCGAGGGCTGAGTCATGGACTGTCCATAGGCAAAGGCTCAATATCTGCCTGCAATTTGCCAGGTTGTGGCAGGGTACTGGACATGGGAGATCCTAAATGTTCTAAAAAAGAATGAAAGTAAAAGGAAAATCTGTAACTTACTTGTGCACTCTGCATTATCCCACTTGCCGTTCGTAGCAGTGTGTCCAACGCATGTCACCTTATTGGGTGCACGATAGCCTTGTTCACAGTTAAGATTTGCGACACTGCCAATGCTGTCTCCCAACACGGTTGCATTTCCATTGCTTACTGTGATCGTACTGGAACAGTAATTAGGTTGAGCTATCAAGTATTGGTACATAGACGTCCATCACGACACATGAAAAGATGCATGAAAGCAAGAAAAAACAAGACTTAGAGACATAAGCACCCCGGTTGATCTACTTAATTATCTAGTGGGTATTTGTGTACTTGAGTTGCTCAATCTGCGGACAGAACTGTTTCGTCCTTTGTGGACTCATCAGCGCAGCACAGAGGAAATGAGGCCGAACCTGGTACTGTAACAATGAATAATAAATTTTCCAAAGCCAGATTTAAACCAGGCCCGAAAGTACCTTGCCAGAGTGCTCAAACTGACAAGTCAGTGAGCTCTGCATAACGCAAACAGCAAAGGCACAAGTCAGTGAGCTCTGCATAACGCAAACAGCAAAGGCACTAACCCACGCAAGAGTGCTCAACTGCTGCAAGCGCAGGAGCGAAATATTATTATTGTATTTTGAATGGACTCGGATGGAGAGCCAAGGTTTAATTTATACAAAAGAGAAACGACCAAGGAGCTATGTTATGTCTATAACTTAGAACCTTCCAAGTTGGAAGTCTGTTGGAGTGCACATCCAAGATGTGCTTTAGCTGTTAGCCAGTTAGTTGTAGAACGTCAGTACCATCGGTCAGTGTCGTGCAATGTTATCGCATGAGCTGATTGTTTAGTAACTGGACTGGTGGTGTTAGTGGAAAGTATAGCGTAACTTGTAGTTCCTTGGTCTTTCTCTTTTGTATAAATTGTATTTTGAGCTATAAGTTAAAGGCAATAAATTGACATTCACCATAACGCCGAGAAAGACGCATGAAGACACACGAAGTAATGCAAAGGGAGGTAAACATTGCAATAAGATTTTTCTGAAGAAAAAGTGACACTGACCAAGTGCATATCACTTGCTCCATTCACAAATTTCTTTCGCACCACACAAAGAGTACACACTGCTCAAACAATGCACAGTACTCATGGACAGAGTTACGGCACGAGCAATGACGGTCAGTTTTTGCTGTACAAATACCTAAAACGGTAAAGGGTTAATAATCCAGTAATCGGACATTTTCCGTCCCTTCTTATCATGGGTATTTCGTTCCCTTCTCGATTATAAGTTGCACCCCCATTTTCAGGTGTGAGCAATTTTGATTTGACATATTGACTTTGGCAGTAAGTCAGCAGTAAGTCACTCTCGATTGTAAGTCGCACCCCCTTTTTACCCTTGAATTTTAGTGTAAAAAGGTGCGACTTATATCGTGGGAAATGCGGTACAGTAACCTATAGAGCTGAAGCAAAGCATAGATGGAAACCTCACACTTATACATGCACATGTGAATCACACTCAGTAGAACTGGTCACAAACAGGGTGAAGGTGAAGAGATGACTAAAACATCGATGAGGAGCAGTATTTCCTGACACTTTCACGAGGATTAGCGCCAACAACTGTAGAGACAAAACAATTTACCTTCTGAAAACCATCTGAAAACGCTCGCCTCCTTGACATTTTTGCCAGGTGAGGAGGAAGGACTTCAACACTCTCCGTCTTTTCGCGGTCGATCACGCGACACCGCAACCGCGGACACCACGTGCATGCATGTTGGGCATGTTGCGGTACGCGGTATAGCTATAAGTATGCGCACTGCATGCATGTAGCGTTGCGGCGCATAGATATCACGATATCGGTACTCTATGCGTATGCACGTGCAGTGCTAGACAAGAATCTGGAGGCCGAGGGGGGTAGGGGGGGGGGGGGGGGGTCGTCCGTACCCCTTGAACCCCTCCCGCTGTGTGTGTGTGTGTATGTTTGTGTGTTTGTGCATGTGTGTGGACATATACGTATGTGTTATTATTTTGTTCCAAATTGATCCCGATGGAGGTTTATCTAATTAATTAAGGGTATGGCGGGTTTAAGTAGTTGGAGCAAACTGTATGGATCCGCTTGTTTACAAAATAGTCAGGGAAAACCTCGTTGAATGGCCCCATATGATTGTAAATAATCTGGCGGCATTCAAGCAGCTGTGTGTCCTGGCCCATCAATATGCAAAGGCTCAATATCTGCCTGCAAGTTGCCAGGTTGAGGCAGAGGACTGGACAGAGGGGGGGGGGGATCCAGATACGAATACCCCAATTTTGCTTTTATACACAGTAAAAGAATTCTGTCACTCACACTTGCACTCCAGCAGATCTTCCCACTGGCCATGAGTAGCATTGTATACACCGCATGTCATTGGTGTGCTTTTCTGTGGCAGGTATCCATACTCACAGGTCACCCATGCAAGACGGTCAGTGGATCCATGGAACAAGGATACGTTTCCATTGCTTACTGTGATCGTACTTGGGCAATAATCCTCGATAGCTATTAAGTATTGAGACATCCGTTAAGAAACCGGAAAAGATGCATGAAAGCAAGAAAAACAAGACACAGACCAAGAGTAGATAAACAAGAGTGTGCAACTCCAGATCTCTCCTGCACAATCTCCTGATACCCCCCACCCACCCCCCCCCCGCCCACGGCGGAATTTTTTTGACGTCACCTTTTTTCAGAAAAAAACGCGCTTCTTGCCGCAGAGCCGTGTGAGAGCACGTGCTGGGCACCGACATTGTAATGTTAGCCCGGCCAAGTGCACGAGGCAAAACTTTCCAAAAGACTAGCAGCGCGTGGGTGGTCGAAACGATTACGTCAACAAGAAATTCCGCCGTGGGCAAACTTATCCGCACGGATCCGGGAGTTGCACACTCTTGTTTATCTACTCTTGCACTGACGCATCAGTCGCATCAGCATCCCAATTAGGCCATAAAGAGAGCATGTCTGAGAAAACCAGAAAATCTGTGCAAGTCGATCTCTTCAAGTTCGCTCAAATTTTGCAGGTGTGTTTCTTGCATACTGTCCATAATCTGTTAGGATAGCTGGGTATAAAGTCTACACTGTGTCCGTAGAGTAGTTGCCTATTTGGAATTGTCTCTGCCAAATTTAGTTGTTTGCCGCTATGCACGATAGGCTACGTAATTGTAGATGTAGATCGATTCGCCGATCGAGTCCACGGGAAAAAATCTGCAGATTTTTTTCAAAAATTCAAAAATACAAAAAAGTTCAGCAAAATCCAAGAGACAGGAAAAGCTAGAACGTAGCTTCGCTGAAGCAGGTTGCGACATGAGTATGGCTGAAGAGCGCAAGAGTTCACCGGTACAAGGGTTGTCTCATCATTTTTGCTTGCAGGACACAGAGACACCACATTCACATGCACGTCCACTGCCGAAGCCTGTCTTACTTCCTGAAACATTTGGCAATCAGCCCGGCCAGGATTTCTGCACGTACATGAGGTACTTCATCCACACATGCGAACTAAGTGGGTACGATGACTACCAAAAGCTACGCATACTACCTGCTCGCCTTGTTGGTACAACTCACGAGATATTTACAGAAATCATAACCCACACGCCTGAAATGAACTTTTCCCACGCGGTCGAGGCACTTCATGTCCGTCTTGAGCCACCCTGATGCACGAGGCCAGTCTTTGCCAGCGAGTGAAGCTGGCCAGTAAAACTGAACGCGGATATCCCACGGAACTTCGTCTGCTCGCTCGGTGAGCTTATCCAGGACAACAAGGCCCCCTGCTTGAATCGGTGCTTTTGAAATATTTATTGATGGGCGGGCTTCAAAGTATTTGCGCTTGGCGTTGGCGTCACCTCGCCCAACTAATTTGGATGCGGCAGTCCAAAAGGCCATCGAGGTAGGTGCTCACGAGCAGGCCTGCACTGTACCTACTCAGTACGCACAGCCCATATTTGCTGGTGTTGCCATGGCTCCGGAAGAGAAGCCCGGTTGCACTACCGGCAGTGGTCGTGACACCTACACCTCAGGTCCACTGAGATCTGAATCCGAGCGAGACGAGTTGGCTTTGTTTTGTCAAAGTTTGATTCGCACCTCTCTGCTTTGGAGGCAAAGATGGAGAGCGTGAGCCTGTATCGCCCCACCCGACCCCAGCAAGATCATGTCCGTTTTGTTGCTCGTGGTGCTGGTGCGCCTAGCCGTGGTCGTGGCAAGAGTTTTGCCAGGCCTGTACGTGAAGTGTGCCATGGCTGTGGTGAAGAGGGCCACTTAATGGCGTCTTGCCCACACTCGTCAAAAAAATAGGTTTGACTGGTGACACGGGGCCGCCGTCAATCGTCCTAGTGGAGCCCCTCAAGGAGGTATGTGTATGTGTATGTGCTATCTCACCCATTTCTGTGCACGTGGATGTTTGTCTTTCGTCTTCGACTCCTGTCGTTGCTCTTGTTGATTCTGGTACAGTTACCGTATTTTATCGGTTGTAAGTTGACCCCGGTTATAGGTCGACCCCGGTTATAGGTCGACCCCGGTTATAGGTCGACCCTGGTTATAGGTCTACCCCCATATCTGGAGGTCTCAATTCTGCGTTTTAAAGTGTTCACCCAACGAAGCACTACTAACCACTCCCTGCTACTAACAAATCAACAAATCATGTAAACATTCCTTATTGGAGAGTATAACTTCCCAATCCTTGAAAAAGGCCAATAATAATAATAATAAGAAACACAGCTCGCATCTTCCCTGAACCTGTTAGACAGGAGCAGAGTTGACGCATCTGTCAACAGTGTCAAGCCAAGTCTATCTCCTGCAGTCTATCTCCTGCAGCTTGGCCAATAAACTGGCAAAAATGTGTACACATGGTGCTCTCGTGCATGCAGTGCAGGTCATTTTTGGTAGATACTGATAGTTCTGGTTATAAGTCAAATCCCGGTTGTAAGTCGACCCCACCCTTTCTCCTTTTATTCTTAGTCGTAAAAGGTCGACTTACAACCGGAAAATACGCTAGTGCTTCTTCTCCTGTTCCTCATCATTCTGGCCGTGTTCGCACTGCACCTGCTTGACCAGCTGACTATGTCCAGGACTGATCTTATTATTTTGTTTGTTTTCTTTTGTTTGTTTCCTAGATATTTTGTTCATTCCCGTGGACGTGAATTATTGCTAGGGGGGGGGGGCACAGTGTAATAGGTGTATTTGTACTAAAACCGTACAAACCTCACTATTCGTATTTCCCGCTCCTTCACCGTAGTAATGAGAGCCACTCACGTATAGAAGAGTGCATGCTCCAGTGGTTCTCTAGTTCTAGTTGTGTCTTCGTTCTTGTCTACTCTCTGGTCTGAATACTCCATCCATATAATAATTCAATACTACAAGACCCCTGTGTGCTGGAAGTGTGAGGGGACTTCGTTTAGCCGGGAGCTAACACCCCTCTTCGAGTTGGCCAGGCGAGGGAGGGAAGTGGGTACAGGGGATCTGGGTAGAAGTACACCAAATATACTACAGGGCAGACACATTTGGTAACTCACGTTTGCACTCTAGGTTATCCCACCTGCCGGCCGTAGCAGTGTGTGCAACGCATGTCGCTTGGTTATTAATGGGTGCTTGATAACCATTATTGCAGGTAACAATTGTAATACTGCCAATGCTGCCTCCCACCAACATTACCCTTCCATTGAGTACTGAGATGGCAGTTGAGCAATAATTAGGTTGAGCTATGAAGTATTGGTACAAGATTGACATCCACCAAGACACCGAGAAAGTTTTAATGGAAGCAAGCACAACAAGACAGAGACAGAAGTACCCCGGTTGAATTACTCAAATAATGTCTATCGGGTGTTTGTGTACTTTGCGCTATAAGTTAAATGGACATACACCCCAACACCGAGAAAGACGCATGAAGACACACAAAATAATGCACAACGAGGATAAACAGTGCAATTTGATTTTTATGAAGAAATGTGAAACTGACCAAGTGCATATCACTGGCTTAAATCACAAATTTCTTTCGAACCACACAGAGAGTAGAGACAAAACAATTTACCTTCTGAACACACAGTTCAGGGGACAACTTCCGAATAATACAACGCCTCCAAAACAGACAAATGCAATACAGATCTGCTACGGGCCACAACTGAGAAAACATCTCTGTATAAATCACGACAACTATCACTAACAGACAGATGACTCTTGATAGCAGATCGCGGATTTGTTGACCATCGCGTCTTCTTCTTCGCCTCCAATGTCGCAGCTCTTGACTGACTCTTTTAACTCTTGACTTGACCGACTATTTCAACAGACAGCAATTTGCTGCCGCTATTCGATGTCACCCGCTGGCGACGGTGGTGTCAGAACCTGCGGGGCTGGATGCACCAATGCACCTTGTAATTGGTTGTCGGAATTCTGAGGCGCATTTACAGCCATAATTTTGCTAGTATGGTGCGTGTGCCAGGGCTAACTAGGCTTTGCTACTCAAAGCCCACATGCTATTGGATTGGCTTAACTTGACTGTGTGGATTGTGTTGTTGCGGACACTTCTTTCGAAATTGGATACACCTCCAATTTTTCCCACAAAAAAACAATGATCAAAATAATACGTCACTCACCACTACAACTTGGTAGATTTTCCCACACACCGTGCGTAGTATTCGATGCAATGCATGTAAGTGGGGTGCCTCCAGATCCTTGGTCGTCATCGTCACTGACGTAACCATAATTACACTTAAAATTTACCACTCCTCCGATGTGAGTAATGTTCGCATCAATCGCTCCATTTGCGAACTCACTTGAGCAATATGAAGCAATTTCTATCAAGTATTGGAAAGGCATCCATCAAGACACCGAGAAGAATACGTAAATGAAGGCAAAGAAAAGACACAGGGAGAAAAACAGCTCAATCAGAGAACATTATCCAAGCTCCTATTTCCGTCTCCTGTCAGTAACAGCTTCCCGCCTTCCAGAACGTTCATAGGAGTCAACCTTCACAGCTCAAAATGTCCTCAAAAGGGGCTCAAAATGTGCTCAAAATGTGCTCAAACAAATACATAATTCACATGCTCTCCAATAAATGAAATATTTTCACAGGATCTCGAGGGCTGAGTCATGGACTTTTCGTATGCAAAGGCTCAGTTTCTGCCGGTAAGTTGCCAGGTTGAGGTAGGGTACTGGACATGGGAGGTACTAAATGTTCTAAAAAAGAATGAAAGAAAAAGGAGAATCTGTAACTTACTTGTGCACTCTGCATTATCCCACTTGCCGTTTGTAGCAGTGTGTCCAACGCATGTCACTTTATTGGGTGCACGATAACCTTCCGCACAGGTCACATTTGCGACACTGCCAATGCTGACTCCCAACACGGTTACATTTCCATTGCTTACTGTGATCTTACTTGAACAATAATTAGGTTGAGCTATCAAGTATTGGGAAAAGATTGACAACCACCAAGACACATGAAAAGATGCATTAAAAATCAAGAAAAACAAGACTTAGAAACATAAGCACTCCAAGTAATGCACAGGGAGGTAAACATTGCAATAAGATTTTTATGAAGAGAAAGTGTCACTGACCAAGTGCATATCACTGGCTCCATTCACAAATTTCTTTTGCACCACACAAAGAGTACACACTGCTCAAACAATGCACAGTACCCATGGACAGAGTTGTGTGCGGCCAACCTCGCACGCTCTCCAATGATTTGAATGTATTCACCGGTTCTTGACAGTACTATCATGGATCATCATCACTTTGCAAAGCTCTAATAGCTACCTGCAAGCTGCAAAGTTCATGGATAAGACTGGATATGGAAGGTCGGGAGCAGAATACCTCCTGACCAACAAAAAACGCACATCCTCACAACACTCTCCAAGCGGTCTCTAGGCAAGGCGTATCTTCCTCAAGTCCGGCTTTGCCCGAAACATTCGGATGACTTTATTCTATTTCAGTGCTTGGCATATCCCAGGGACCACTTGGAGTGTGGTGTGAGGATTTAAGGATATAACGGGTGGCTACAGTGGAGTCTGGACATATTGAGAACTGTTTTTTAATTTGTTGAGTCACCTCCACCATTACACTGCGCTCTTTAGCCGACTAGACCCTCCTGCACACAACCATCACCATTGCGAGGACACTTCGCACTTGAGGTGACTCAACATTTTCTTCAATGGCCGAGAGCTCTGTCGCACCCTGTAATAATGTTTTTTTTATTTCACCAATAAAAATAGAAAACGTAAAAGTTACTCACGATCGCAAGTTGGTAGAGCACGACTCCACACACCATGGGTGTCAGTGCTAAAAGTACATTTAGTTGGATAACTACTGGATGGGCGATAACCATGATTACATATAACATTTGCGTCTCCTCCGATGTGAGTAGTGTTGGCATCAACCACTCCATTTGTGATCTTACTTGGGCAGTATGAAGCAACACCTACCAAGTATTGGCAAATTGATGACATCCATCAAGATGGCGAGAAAGACGCGTAAAAGAAGGCAAAGAAAGGCAAAGGAAGAAAAACAGCTCAATAAGAGAATACTATCCAAGCTCATATTTCCGTTTCCTTTCACCAATTGTTTTACACCTCACCGAAAGTTCACAGTGGGCAACTTTCACAGCACAAGACGTGTTGAATATACTTGTAGAAACATTCTAAGGATACCGGTTTACATGCTCTCCAACAAATGAAATATTTTCACCGTATCTCAAGGGCTGAGACATGCACTGTCAATATGCAACGGCTCAGTACTGCCTGCAAATTGCCATGTTGAGGTAGGGCACTAGACATACAACAAAAAATTACTTCCTCCGCGTCATCGAAATTGTCGCAGTTTGACTTTTGATGTAAAATGCGATATTTACTCACCAGCACTCGTACCAGAGGCAAGGGATCGGACATAGGCGATAGTCATCAGTATAGGGTGACGGCAAAGTTCTATTTTCTGTTATTGGAAGCTGGAATTTTTGTACTAGACGCAATTTCTTCGCTGATGTCGCTGCGCTGGTAATTTCGACTCGCTGAGATCAGTCAGGTGTTGCAGCCTGCACATTTCTCGTGCTTATGGCCATTCACTCAAGCCCCATCACTGCTTTACCTTAGCTGGGGTGAGAATGACTTCGTGGAACAAGTGGCAGCGCTTGGAGAAACATCGAGGGGTCGGCAAACTAAATGCCTGCAACAGCGAAAATTTGTCGCTCTGGCTGAGACACTCAGTACTACTACTAGTACATGATTGTACCTGCAAGAGCCGTGTAGACTCTACACGTAGTGCTAGTGTCACGCGCAGGTGCCGTACCATGGTATACCAGTGCTGAAAAAGAGGGCGCGCTGGACGTGATACTACACTTACCTGCATGAGCTGTGGGCATGCCACGGCTAAAAAAAGTTCATTATTTTCAAGATCGAGGTGATTCCGAGGTGATTCCGCCGACGGTAATCAACCGACCTCGCAACGATCGTGTATTCTTACTAGGCTTCGTTGTAGGTGAAGTAGAAATCATCCAGAGCTAGCAGACGACAAGCATAGCAGCTCTTGTCCTGTGGAGAAAGTCAAAGCGTTTGAGACGAGGCGCGACCAACTTTCAACCTTCCTTGAAATATTTGGGAACGATATTTTTGCGTCCATTGACATCAGCGACGACGAGGACTTCATCTCTGCATGAAAACTCTCAGTCCAATTGTCCTAGAACGTTACTCTAGTCTTCAGACTATCATACTGTGTAATAAGTTTCGAATGGCTTAGTTTATGGAGTTGTCAGTAACAAGTGACAAGTCACTACCGTACTGGCAATATATGTTGCCGCGTAACACGTAACGCAGGGGGGTGCGGCGTAACGCGCGACCAGGCTAGTGCGACAAATTTTCGTTGAGTTCGTAACGCGCGTCCGGCGGGGTGCGGCGATCTTTTCATTGCAGTTTGCACTGCAAAAAAAGGCTGAAAACTGTGAAAGCACGTGTACCGCGTGGTGAAAAGTAGTTTTTGGAGGAAGCGCTCTTCCCCTATGTCACTTTCCTTTTGATGATCTTTTTGTGAACAGATCACTCTGATAGTTAAAATATACAGTCTTCTATTGATATCGTTGTCGCCGTTTGCCGTCGGGTTTGTAACAGTTGGATAGCAACTGAATCTCTGTGCCTTCAATGTGGATGAAAAGAAAAAATGATGCGGCAAAAGCAAAAAAAGGACTGCGGCAATATAGAAACCTGTGTAACGGCTCCTGTGCGACTTTGCATGTAACGCCCTGCGTGCGGCAAACATGTGCCAATGTAACGCTTCATGGCCTCACTGCGGCAACATATATTGCCAGTACGGTAGTCAAACTGCGACAATTTCGATGACGCGGAGGAAGTATTTGATCTGAGAAAGTTTGAGACTAACAAGCGCGGTTAAATTTCGTGCATTTCAAGCCTTTTGCCTTTTTGGAAATGGGTATCGCGGCAAAGGACATGGGTTCCGACTTCTGGCGTCTGGTGAAGCCAGAGATCATTGTCCAGTCATGTCAGGGGCCAAACCTACAGTAAGCTTGTGAGTAGGATCCCGTTCTGCTCGGTCTGGTAGATCACAAACAATTTTGACATCGCACAAATTGACCTCTGCATCGTGCGTACGGCATTTGATATTCAGATAATCACAAAGTGTCTCCGAGTGGCCGGCCTATGCCACGAGAAACTGCAATCAGGCTATAATGTCCTCTGCCTTCTTGATTGAACGTCCACTTCGTTTGAACAACGAACACAACAATCGAGGACGGCTTTGCAATGAAAAATACAGCTATACTGGAGCTGGTAAAAAAGAAAGATAAAACATTCTGAATAGAATGAGACTTAAGTACATGCGTTCTCTCCCAGCAGGTTCTGAGGATGCCGCTCATAGATGCGTAATTTCGCGTGACGCACCAGGCCAACATGAGGCTTAAATTAAGCAGACATGTTTATTGTGCACGGTAGGTCAATTTCATACTTTCGCCCACAGTCAGTGACATCTCTTGGACTCCTTTTCACTCTCTCACTTGCATCTACATAACAGCAGAAGCACAGCTCTGACTTTGTCAAAAAGTGAGGACAGCATAGATTATACTCATTAAAAGGACACACTTCAGGCTCATTACAAACATCTTGAAAGTTTTTGCCTTCACAAGTATACTTTCAAGCCTTCTCGTCAGGTGAAATACAGGCAAGGGAAAAGGAACAGGAACAGTGGATTAAATACAGTAAGAAGGTGGTAAAACAGCGCGAAAAAAGAAAGAAGACAGCTAAAGTAAACAGCGAAAATTGCAATAATGACACAAATTGAGTTTTCTCGCATTTGCACCTTTATTTCATTATTGCAATTTTCGCTGTTTACTTGAGCTATCTTCTTTCTTTTTTCGCGTTGTTTTACCACCTTCTTACTGTATTTAATCCACTGTTCCTGTTCCTTTTCCCTTGCCTGTATTTCACCTGACGAGAAGGCTTGAAAGTATACTTGTGAAGACAAAAACTTTCAAGATGTTTGTAATGAGCCTGAAGTGTGTCCTTTTTTTTAGTATTATCGCATTTTTGTCTCAGAGGAAACAGCATAGATTCCGGTAGTATACGTGTATTTTATCGAGTAGTGAGCCCCCTTTCGAATTCAAGTCGAGTACTCGGCGAGCGGGTACTCGCGTACTCGGTGTACTCCTTTGAGCACTAATAATAATACCCCAGAGCACTAATAATAATACCCCAGTGCACTAATATTAATACCCCAGTGCACTAATAATAATACCCCAGTGCACTAATAATAATACCCCAGTGCACTAATAATAATACCCCAGTGAACTAATAATAATACCCAAGTGCACTAATAATAATACCCCAGTGCACTAATAATAATACCCCAGTGCACTAATAATAATACCCCAGTGCACTAATAATAATACCCCAGTGCACTAATAATAATACCCCAGTGCACTAATAATAATACCCCAGTGCACTAATAATAATACCCCAGTGAACTAATAATAATACCCCAGTGCACTAATAATAATACCCCAGTGCACTAATAATAATACCCCAGTGCACTAATAATAATACCCCAGTGCACTAATAATAATACCCCAGAGCACTAATAATAATACCCCAGTGCACTAATAATAATACCCCAGTGCACTAATAATAATACCCGAGTGAACTAATAATAATACCCCAGTGCACTAATAATAATACCCCAGAGCACTAATAATAATACCCCAGTGCACTAATAATAATACCCCAGTGCACTAATAATAATACCCCAGTGCACTAATAATAATACCCCAGTGAACTAATATTATCACATGGCACGTGATTGTTGCCCGTACTCCAGCGAATCAGCACCTTTCGCGCCGCGGGCAATAATATGCGATATTGCCCGCAAAAAAATAGTTTATTTGCCCGCAAAAAAATAGTTTATTTCAGTGATCGCGTGACTACGCTCGTACGACGACTCTGTAGACCAGGTAGACTGTACGACTCTACGACGAGTCGCAGTGTAGCATTGAGACCAGGGAGTCGTCAAATACCGTATTTGACGACTCCCTGATTGAGACGAAGATGGAATTCTTTTTGGAGATGGACATCCCGGCATGCCGGCAATGGACATGGCCTCGGACGTCTGCCGTGTGGTGCTTGCAGGGATCATTTGTTCAGTCATGTTGGCAGCCTGACCGTCGGTAAGCTTGTGGATAAGATTCAGTTCTGCTCGAAGTGGTACTGTGATCACAAACAATTATTTGAAATAACACAAATTCAACTCAGCGTCGTGCGTTTTCAAATCCTCGCAAAGTCACTGCCTGTGTGTGGTCTTCATGTGCCACGCAAAACTCTTACCAGGCTCATCTCACCTTTGCTTGAACAACAAACACAACAATTCAGGAATGTTTTGCAATGAAAAATACAGCTATCTGGAGCTGAAAAAAAAGAAGAAAAATTGTCCTCAGAATTGCACACCATGTACCAGGGAGTCGTCAAATACTTGCACTTGTTGCAGTACAGTGTACTGTATTTGACAACTTCCTGATACACATGTAAACATGAAGAAACTCTTTGTGGTAGCACTCTTAATTTTTCAATTGAAATTATGATTCTGCTGTATTTTATTGTCGTTGCCATGTCTATTGCTATGACGATGCGGTGCCGGCACTTTTTTTCTGTCTCCGTCTTTCAGTACTGTATACTCTCTGATGGCCTGTAGAAGACTTTTTGTTAGGGTGTAGGAGAAATATCTTCATTTTTCCTGTTTTGATAATGATAGCACATCAATATACATTGTGGTCATAATGTGTTGGCATTTGGGCTAATTTCAACAGCAGCCCAATGGTCTGCTCTGTGGGCCATGTGATAAATTTGTTATCGCATGGTTGCTGCGGGCCTTATGGCATATTATTGCCCCTCGAGGTTAGCCCTTGGGCCTACGGCCCTCGGGCTAACCTCT